GTGACCACTATTGTTGAACATTTAAACCCTTTCTTCTTCATCTCTAAAACCCTACTACCAGTTTCTAAATATGACTGGTTAATAACTTATTATTCTCCTTATACCATATCCAAATGGCAATTAGTCTAGCTTTCGGATCTTCGTGTCATCCCCATTTTCGCCTTAATTCATCTCTCCTTCGTCGCGTTTCCACTGTAATTTCCATATCTCCATTTACTCTGTTTTTTTTTTTCTTTCCTTTTATTGAGTTTTGTATAAACATTACATTTGTATGTGAAGGTTCGACTGAGTTCTATTGCAGCCATCGAAACAATTGACGAGCCAGATGGTTTCTCCACCGATTCCGTTAAAAAAGGCATGTCCAATTCTCGTCTGATATTAATCGATACGATCCTAATCTGATTCTGTGATTCATATATTTTTGAATTGAAGGTAGAAAAATGGCATCGGAGTGGAAAAGGTTGAGCTCGAAGGAACTTGGAATATCAAATTCGATGATTTCAAAGTCTACAAGGATAGTCCTAAATGGTCTCAAAAGAAAAGGTAAATAATTTCACAACTTGGAACAAATAAAAAAAATCAGTTTTGAGAATCAAAATGATTTATTTTTGTGTAGGATTTGATGTTTACCTTGTTGGTGGTTGCGTACGTGATCTAATACTAAAACGCACACCAAAAGACTTTGATGTATTAACTACAGCAGAATTGAAAGAGGTGATGAAAACTTTTTCTAGGTGTGAGATTGTTGGGAGACGATTTCCTATTTGTCATGTGCATGTTGGTGATGATATTGTAGAGGTTTGTAGCTTTCTATTATTCATCGGATGCTCAATTTTCAAAACTACAAGTAATACTATTTAAATTTTGATTTATGTTTTACAGGTTTCTAGTTTTAGCACTTCAGCAAGAAATAGAAATCAGTCAATGGAATCTGATATAGCTTTTGAACGACATGAAGGATTTGAGGAGAAAGATTATACTCGTTGGAGGAATTGTATGCAACGGGATTTAACAATAAACGGGTTTCTTCTTTGGTTTCCATTGGTTCACTTCCATGAATCTTTTTGTTCTTTCTTTTTTTTCAAAACTATTTTTTTTTTTAATCCCGATAATGATAATTCTTTTTCTTGTTCCCATTTTGCAGATTGATGTTTGATCCATATGTGAATACAATTTATGACTATGCTGGAGGAATTGATGATATTAGAAAAGCTAAAGTATACTTTCTGTAAACTGTAAAGTCTCTTTAAGCTTTTTTTTATGGTATTAATGTAATTTTGGTTTTAGGTGCGGACTATTCATCCTGCCAGCTTCTCATTGGTGGAAGATTGCGGTTAGTTTTTGAATTTTAGTTTATTTTAATTCAAGCAATAAGCTTTATTCAAATCTAAATCTTAAATAATAAATATTCCTCTTTGTTGAAGCTCGTATACTACGTGCCATTAGAATCGCTGCTCGTTTAGGGTTTGGTTTTTCTAGAGATACAGCTCGTGCAATAAAACACCTTGCACACTCTGTTCTTTTGCTCGATAAGGTACGATGATAATGAGGGTATTTATGTCTTTTGTCCCGCTTTTTTGGGTAGGACAAAAAACTGTCATTTTATCCCATTGACACCAGTCTCAGTCCTGTCTCAGTCCTATACAGGTCAAACATACACAAGACTGACATGTTCTGACATTCTGGTCTTTTCTGTTTTGTCCTGTTCTGTTCTGTGTTATATGGATATTAATTAAAAAATTATGATATGTTTGGGTTTATTTGTTAAAGGGGAGGCATCTTATGGAAGTGAATTACATGTTAGCATATGGTTCTGCAGAACCTTCATTAAGACTATTATGGAGATTTGGTCTCTTAGAATTGCTCTTACCAATTCAGGTAACATTTTTTTCGCTAATTTTTAATTAATTTATATGTATTTTGACATGCTCTTATATTTTCAGGCTGCATATTTTGTTCGTGATGGTTTTAGGAGACGTGACAAGAAGACTAACATGCTCTTGGTATTTATCCAGCTTTTATAAAACCTATCCAATAATATAAAAATTTTTATCTTTATATTTATTTAACTACTATTTCTTACACTGCAGTCATTGTTTTCAAACATGGATAAGCTCCTTGCACCTGATCGACCATGTCATAGTAGTTTATGGTACGATGGAATGGAATGGAATCACAAAGGGAATGGAATGGAATGACCGAATGAGCATATTCCATTCCGGTGTTTCCTTTTTTTCAATTACTGCATGCAAATTGCAAATACCAAACACTACCTAATCCATATGTTTACAGGGTGGCAATCTTGGCGTTCCACATGGCGTTATTAGATAAACCAAGGGACCCTTTAGTTGTTGCTGTATTTAGTCTTGCTGTACACAATGGAGGAGATACGGAAGAAGCTGTTAGCATAGCTAAAAGGATTTCCAAACCATATGCTAAAGGAATTTACCATGAATTATCAGAGCCTCAAGATCTTGACCTAAAGACACTAAAAAAACAGGTTTTGGATCTTGGGGTGTTTGTTAATAGGGCACTGTCTAACATGACTGATTCGTATTATGTCTCACAAGCAATGAGTAGTTACCCTAAAGCACCTTATTCTGATTTGGTAAGTGGTTGATTAGTTTTTTTTTTTTTTTTTTTTTTTTTTTTTTTTGGATATTGAAAGTTGGTTTGCTATTTGTTTTATTACTTGTGCAGGTGTTTGTGTCTTTGCATTTGTATTTAAAGGGAGTGAAGATATTTGAGTGTGTTAATAAAGGTAAGGAGGTGGGATTTGTGGGGAAGCAAGGTGGGAATATTGATTATGAGTTGTTAGGTATGGGGAGTTTACAGGAAGTGAGGCATGTGTTTGCTAGGGTTGTGTTTGATACTGTATACCCTTTAGACGTTGGTTGTGGTTAAGGTCATAGGTGTAGTGTGTGATATTATATATCTACTCATTGAAATTAAAGAATCTGTGGATTAAAAGAAAATGGTAGAAAATAGTGTTTAGAAAAAGTTGATTTGTTATATTATGTTTATTTATTTTTTAAGAAAACCCGGCCCAAGGGGGTCTATGTAACATTAGGTTGAATAACCGCGAATTTGGGTTTTTTTTATGGGGATTGGTTCATTGTATTTTCATGTCTTATAGTTGTTTTTAGGGTAACGACTAATGAGATTCTTAGAAATACGAATTTGACCAAGGTTGATTATTAGTTGTATTTTTGTGTTTTCGGATGAAAGGAAGAAAAGAGAAATTTACATTCAAGGCTTATATTCAAGATCCAATTCTTTCCATTAAAAAATAACTTTGCAAATCTCGTCACACACTCAAAACACCTTGGAAACACAAGCAAGATTGAAAGGAAAGCAAAACCGGATTAGGTTCTTTATAAGAATCAATCAATAGGATAACAATATACTAAGACCAAGGGGGTGTATTCACCATATTTTTCTTAATTCAACTCGGTCGTGTTATTCCCCCATTCTCTCCACACTTAGCACTTTGTTCCCGAGTCTTTTTTAAGAAGAAAAGTAAAAGGAAGTGGAAATACATGAGAAAAGTAGTGTTTTTCGAAGGGAGTGGAGAGAGGGAAAATAAGATTATTGATAATTTTTCATCTTGATTTTCCTTTTAAACAGGACCGAATTGGAGAGAAAGTAATCCAATACAAATATAGACTTTTCCATTTACCAATTTTAACCTTCAACCTAATATAAAAAAGATTATGTACCCTCTATAATCATGAATTTTTTTAATGCCTCTCGCATACGTTGTCTTCTCCATTGACTAATGGTTTGGCCAATACAACTTCTTCCTCCGTTCCCCACATTTGAGTCAGTTGATTGCATTTTATGTTCAGTTGGGATGGTTCAACTACATGTTTCGACTCGGTTGGGGGTGGGGGAGTTGGGTTTCCCGAACATATTCGAAAAAGGAGTGAAGATGGGAAATAGGGTTGTGGTTAGGTATTGTGATGGATAAAACAATGACAAACCTTGAAATTGAATTGGTTGGGTGAGTAGATATAGGCGTTATGTTATGGTTGCTAAACTGATGTTGGAGAATTGAAGCCAAAAATGTTTCTAGTAGGTGTATTTAAAGCAGTTACCTGTGATTGGTTTCTTACAGACGTTGGAAGAATTGTTTGGAGTCATTTGTAAAAATACAATTGAAAGAGTAGAGAAGATTGAGTGAATGTGTAGTTGAATGACTTATGTTATTATCTAGAGTATGGAAAAAAACTAAAAATAAATTGAAAAATACTCGTTGAAGAGGGAAAGAAAGGAGAGAGTGTATGGTGAATCTTGGGGGTGGGCGGTGTTACCGTGGCCACTACATGCTACTTTGACCCTGCCGTGGGGTGTTATGAGGGTGCGCCTTTCGGTTTAAGGGCATCACAGTCCACTTTATCTCTACAAAGTTTAATGAACTGTCACATTAACATTTTATTTTTCATACATTTTTGTCATGTAATTCGTATAGTCCATTGAACTATATAGTTGAGTGGACTACCATTTATGTAAAATAATTTAGAATGTTGCCTTTTCTTTTCCCATTCAATAGCATATTCATTGTATGCCAACTTGACGTTCCACCTCATTCAACTTAAAAGTAGTCTAAGACATGGTGCAAATCAGATCGAAGGTTAGGGATAATTCGAGGTAATTGTTAGAATGTTAGTTTTCATGTTCTTGGTTGGTATTTCAGCAACGCTACAATTTATGTCGAATTGGAGGATCATTGTTGCAAATCATATATAAAGTTCAAGTACTTGTAGACGTTCAATTTTGTGATTAATGGGTTTATATCTAAAAAATCAGAATAATAATCATGAAAATTGAGTGCAACGACGAGTCTTGAGTGAGATTAACTTGAATCTAGGGTTTGTTTATGGATAGATTTGGTTAGAAACATGTTATTATATGATGTTAGTCTATGATTCTATATCGAATTCATTCATTGCATCAAGAAGAAAACTATATAAACTTTGACAAATCAGGCAATCAGAATACCTCAGAAAAATTGGTTTACCCGATTAGTTGGACACCTCATTAGATGATGGCCAAGATGAAGGGAGAATCAGAATACACCCTGTACAAAAAGGTTTGAGCAAAAACCTTGAATTGGAAGGAAAAAAAAATCCCTAAATGACTACTAATGCTATTTATCCATCAAAATTCGTTGAAAATACAGAATCACTCAATTTTGTCAGTTTGTCTGGTGGTTTTCTTTCGTATAGGAGGAGCACCACCTGTAGTAGGCCTACAAAGAAAAAAAAATCCTTTTAAGAAGAAAAATTTACTAATATAGTCTAAGGTTAGAAGAAATTTACAGGCCAACAAGAACTTTGAAAGCATCATAGATGCCCCATTGTGCTCCAGTAAGAGTTCCAATCATTAGAATACGAAGAGGAAGACCACGTGTGAAAAGACCAAACAACCCTATCTCCTTTACAGCCTGCACCAAAGTTTAATAAACCATGTGTCTAAAAATAAATGTTTTTTTTTTTTTTTTAAATATTATATGAGGATATATATGATGACTCACATTGCCAACAGTAGCTCCTTGTGAGTTATTAAGGAAAGAAACCAAATTATCAGCAGGGTGAGAAATAATGGCACAAAATACACCAGCAACATAACCACCAACAAAGCTCACTCCAAGCTGCAAACTTTTGCTACATTGATCTTTGGGTATGGGAATTGCATGCTTGTATATCATCTCTACAATTGTCTCAAATGATGCAAACTTCATCATTGTATCTGAACATATTTACATTTTTGCCACTGTCAATTGTCAATTCTCCTTGAATCATGAATTCTATAATACTCTATCAACTTACATGGAATTTGTCTCCCCCAAAGAGGTACCAACCCCTTGTACAACCTGTTGAAGAATTTGAAAAAAATAAAATAGAGAAATAATTGGTCTAAAAGTTGGTTACAGTTTGTGTTTATGATGCTCCTACCCTGCAGTGCCTTCAGCATTGATGAACTTTGGGAAGCCATCTGAGAAACCCTTGGCAAATCCTGGATTTGTTTGGACACGAACCTTAACTGCTTCAAAAGGGCAAAGGGCAATATCGGCAATAAGTTCTGCAGAAGCAGAACCAGCGAGGTAGATCAAAGTTTTATACTTGGCTGCATTTTCTGGACCAGAAATGTCTGAGTAGGCTTTCTTGAAGAACTCATAAAACCCAAATTTGCAAGCACCTTGCACACTGTAACCTAGCAATGTTGGCACCCAGCCTGTAAAAAATCCTTTGATTCCTTGCTCCTTCAGTAATGTTCCAAAACCAGAAGATATGCTCTTGAATTTTGCAGGGTTAATCTGAACATTTGGATATATGTTATATGTATGCAATTTCAGGATACAAACTGTAATTGATAACGACCTAATTGAGATTCTGATGTCCTGTTACTATTTCATCTTCTTGTTTTAGTATCCTGTAAGTGCCTGTAGCTTTCTGATCTTGCCATTAAAGAATGGCTTATCGAGGTTATCAAGAGCTATATTTAAATACTCTAAAACTTTGTTTATAATATTTGCTGTAATGCGCCTATCAAACTCAATATATAAAGCTGGAATGTATTAATTATTAAATATACATTCCACTAGCAGATCAGAATTTCGTATAAGGCATGGCGAAATGAAAAACAAAACCTAAGGACAAATCATAAACCTCGCAAGTGATTAGCTAAATTGATGCGTATCGACGACGCATATACGTGTCCTACTACTCTAAATCAGATTATGATCGTATTGAGCAATGTAAAAGGCACCTTCGAATAAGATTTTTGAAATCATCACATTCATAGGATCAACTAATAGTTTCTACTCATACAACAAACATTCATATGGACAAGAGATTGAGATAGAAACCGACCTGCATATTGCATTTGATGAGATCGAGCGGAGTAACCGCCATGTGAGTAAGTCCACAGCTAAAAATGCCGCCTATGCTACACGCTGCGTAATAAGCAGGCGAAAACATCTCCATACCTAACTCACTCGGAGGCGATAATAACGAAGACGAATTCCGTCGTTTGGCAATCAAATGCTCAAATTCGATGAGATTCTTCGAAGAAGACGAAGACGAGTAGAGGAACATCGGGATCACAGATTGCAGCGAATCATCCATTAGCACAATCGCGATTGTGCGTTGTGTTGCTCCTTGCAGATAGCTATGCTACACCTCTGTGAATGAAACTGGAAGCCTGAGAATGTTAGTGCGCATTCCAAGGGTTTTTCACGGTTAGTTGGTTTCTTGCCAGGGTTTATACTTTTGGGCTGTCACATTTCGAATTCGATTCAACGTTGATTCTTGCTATCAGCCTATAACAATAAATCCATATAAATTAATTGATTTATAAATTGTGTTTTGTTTTTTGTTTTTTTATGCTAAAACAGCTAAATGGATAATGTAATGGTCAGAGACTCGGAGGAGCCAAAGGTCAGTCATATATGTATTTAAGTAAAGCGTTATTATATTTGGAACTTTTTATATTATAATCAAATCATATTTAATTACTCAATCATATTCTACACGTTATTTTAGTTTTTTATTTTTTATTTTTTATTTTTATTTTTTTTCCATTTCATTTTAGTACTTTAGAAGTTTTTTTTTCCTTTTTCAGATTTCTTTTATTTAAAACTCTTTTTCGCTTTTTATTACTTTTAGAAATTATTACTCATCGTGATATTATCATGTATCTTAATAAAAATAGATTTATAATTTAGCAATGCCATTTATTATAATTTATTTTATTAATATTTTTGAAAAATAATAAAAACTAGAAATTATTCATTCCCCGTAGAGGACACAAACAAAGTTTTGTTAATATGTTGATCCAAATTAAACGATTATATGTTATAATGCACTTGTTATCTAATAGTATTATGTAAATTTTATTACATGTTATTTATTTATTTGTGTGTGAGCAAATTTGCCGACATACGAAAGTCTAACGACAAAACCTTCAAATATGCAAATATATGAAAGTTCAAGGAGTTAAAAATGTCAATGTTCAAATTTGAGGGGATAAAAGTTGACATGGCAAAACTTGACACGACACGAACCCGACACAAAATTAGTGGGTTTGGGTAAGAGATTTAGACACGTTTATATAAACGAGTTGATACGACACGACACGATAATCAAACAGGTAGGGTTAGGGTCAAGACTTTCAACTCGAATATGACCCGTTTAATTATATATAATTTTTTTATATAAATTTCATATTTTTATAAATCTTTCAAATATTATAGACTTGTAGTGATCCAAACTCAAGAATTAAAAGTAAAATTCAAACTTTCAAAGTGACTTAGGTCCCGTTTGATAGTTGCTGACTGAGAAAGTGCTGAGTGAGAAATGTCTGTCTGGGTAAGAAATCATGGTCGAGTAAGAAACATTGTTGTTTGATTGTACATCTGACTGAATGTGCTTACTGATGAAAAATGACAATTTCACCCCTGCTGCTCTATACATTGTTTTTCAACAATTCAAACAATTCATTTTTTGACCAGATTCACATTCATTAATCAATTTAAGCAAGTGATGGATGAAATTGAAGAATCAAGAACAGGGGAAACGTGAATGGATGAAATCAAGTCACCTATAATAGTTGCTTAACATTTGAATACAAGGTCAAAAGTCAAAACTACACTTTTTGTGGTAGGAGCTTGCATGTTATAAAGAATGTATGATGATGAGGAAAAACTAACAATCTACAATCATAAATTACAATTAACATGAAAATTTTTTCATCACATTAAACAATAAAAATGCAAAACATTGTATAGTGTATGTTCTGTTTAAGTGTGGAAATGAGTAGTACATACAGTTGTGCATATAGCCCTATCATAAAATTTTTGAAAAGTCCTATGACATTAATCTAGACTCAATCTGTGTGACAACCCGGAATTTTTTTTTTTTTTATTTTAAAGCCCATTCAATCAACTCAAATGAGTGTCAAACTCATTAGTACTGAGTCTAGCCCTGTTAAAGGTCTTTCTAAGGAGTTTAGGCCTAGTACACTTAAGGAATAAGTGTTGGAATTTATCTGCTAAAGGCCACAGTACAAGAATCAAGCCGTAAACTCCATCAAATGGAGTTTACGACCGTAAACATGGAGTTTACGGCCGTAAACTCATGTAGGCCGTAAACTCCTCCATATAAGTTCATTTCCTTCACTTTTCTTCATTCTTTCACTTTCCCTTCAAGAACACATGAGTTTTCTCTCAAGTATCATCCCGATCTTCATGCTTGATCTTCAAAAATCGTAAGTGTTCTTTCTCTAGTTTGTTGATAATCCTTTTCTTAACTAGCTTCATCCTCATGATTCATCCATAAAAATCATGTTTTCTTAGATCTTCAAAGAACACCAAGAACACACACTAGTGTTCTTGGCCAATATCAACCATTTCAAGCTTCTAGATCGTAAGTACACTTCCCTATACTTCATATCTAGTTAGTATCCATGCTTAGAGACTTGGAAACATCAAGAACACAAGATCAAAGGGAGTTTACGACCGTAAACTCCCAAGACCGTAAACCCCTTTTTGGTGGCCATTAGGGCCATAAACCCTATAGGATGCAAGGCAAGTGACCCAGAACCCTTCCTTGAAGTGTATAGGACCTTAAACATCGAAAACATCAAGGACCATTAGAGTTTACGGCCGTAAACTCATGGAGAAATGGTCCATGGGCCGTAAACTCTACAAAGGGGTGAAATGTTGCCACAATCACTTCCTAAGGCTTAGACTTGAAGTAAGGATGCTTCATTATGACCTTTAGGACTTCAAAACACAAAATGGTAGAAGTACCATGAGTTTACGGCCGTAAACTCATGGGTTTACAACCGTAAACTCCAAGGGAGTTGGTCCCAAAACCGTAAACTCATAAAGAGTTTACCCTTGGACCCTAAACTCAAAAGTCAAGCCCTACAACCCTTAGATGCAATCCTTAGTACTTATAGCACTTAAATCAAGTGTTTTTCATGTCCTAGGATGTCTTAACTTAGTTAATTAGTTGTTAAATGACTAATTGGATACATATATGTGTTATTATATGTTAACTAGGATCCTTGTGTGTGTTCAAGTCTTTCACTTGACACTTAGCATCCTATACCATCTGTTCATCCAAACCACTCACTGCAGGTGAGTTCATACCCCGTAATGAATCTTTTAACTGTTTTAACTGTTTTAAGGGGGGGAATACAAGTTGAACACAATGATAATTGTGTAAATGTTTGTTATAAACATCTTTCAAAATGTTACTTATGTCATTTATAAGTCGTCAAAACATTTCAAAACTCTTTTAAACTTATGTTACTTTCTAGTTATACAAAACTTTGTTTTTAAAGTACAAACATAACTTAGTAGATAAACGAGTCTTTCCAGTAACAGTCCAAGTAGAACATTAGTAAGCTATAATAAGTATAGTTTAGGAGAATGATATTCATTACTTCTAGTACAATGAAGCACACAAAGAGTCAATACCATACATAACAGATAGTGAAGAGAATCAAACAATACCATACAGAGAGAACACACAATTACTAGAAACAAACAGAACGTACAAGATACAGTACAAAACAAACAAGTTAGGTTGCTATAGCATGATAACACATACAGGATCTAATTATACCATGAATCACTAACTCATTGTTTAAACAAAAGGTGATAGTTATATTAGGTATACATGATCATATACTTTAATGTGAATTACATGGCTTGCAAGAATTTGCAGAGGTCGTGTTTAGTTCCCCTAATCTCCTGACCGGGAGAGCGTATAGTAAGGGTTCTAGCCTTCACATTATAACCGTAATAAAACAAATATGTTTTTAGGTTATTAGTACATCCGCATGTCATTATAACCGTAATAAAACAAATATGTTTTTAGGTTATTAGTACATCCGCATGTCATTATAAACGACAACTGTGTACTTACACTTCCATTTCTTTCATAAAGTGACGGTACCACTTGAAAGTCCAACCCAAACTATTTTCGAGTCAAGATAGTTATAAACTAGGGAAAATATACATTCTTACAAACGACAAACGGAACAGTCGAGTCTAGCACATAACAGAAGATGCCTTGGTAGAAGGATACGAGTAAAAGATAGGACCGTAATGCTAGTCTTATGATTCCTTAATGTATACATAACAGGATATATATATATACCAATAGGGTCCGACAGGTAATAGGATGTGTGCTCTCCGCTTCATTTCCTGTTCTTGTTTGGTTGTGGGCTTGGAACGAATTCACCAATCTATTTTCTACCCGATTCTATATATATGTATGCTAGTATACATTGAGTCATCATAAGGGTACCAGGTATGGGTCAGGTTATAAGACACAGAGTCAAAGCACAGTTTTTCTAGTACAAAACATACTTTCAGTACTTTTGGTATACAAAAACTAAACTTCCCGGTAAAGGGTTTAATCCATTTTATTAAACCAGTACAATTTAAAAGACCTTAGTGAGTAACTCTATAATACCTTAGTTTATACACACATGTTTATGTATAAAAACTAATACCCAATAGGTAGTTGGATGTGTGTTTTCCGCCTTAATTTCTGTTCCTCGTTTGGTTGTGGAATTAGGGCAGATTCGCTCAATTAACTTTCTATCCGATATTAGATTATATATATCAGTATAAACTAAGCTATTATAAAAGTAGTCACTATGGTCACTATTTTATTATAAGAAATAAGGGTTTTTTAAAGAACTTCTTCATAGATATAAAGGAAACATTACAATTAACTCCATGAGTAACAAGTGATTACACAGGGTATATATGACGATGATCTAACAACCAATGGAATGTGTGCTATCCGCCTTAATTCCTGTTCCGTGTTTGGTTGTGAGCTTAGGGCAGATGCGCACAATCGATTGTTTGTTTACTCTGAGTCTTATATAACTTGTACCCACTTAGTACCCATAGAATGGGTTGTAGTGTCATTTTACTTAAACTTCCATCAAAGTAGGAAATATATGATTTTCTAGAGGAACAGGCGAACTTTTCAAAACAGGACTTACAACTTACGACATTTTACAACTACATTTTACATCTACATTTTTAACAACACTTTACAACTTACTTACATCACTAAACTCTTATGAACTCACCAACTTAATTGCTGATCAACTCTTTCAAATAACTTGTATTCTCAGAAGACTATTAGACAGGTGCTCGTGCTGGGGATTCAGAAGATGAAGCATTATAGCTTCAAGTCTTGTTTTGTTATTTGCGTATGAATTCTATGTTTTGTGAACACACACATTGTAAACACTTTCTTTCGAAATGAAATGGTTGTTCATTACTTGCTTACCATATACATATCTCGTGATACTAAACATGACGTCCTCCACCCCTGAACGATTCTGCCGTTCCGGTTTTGGGGTGTGACAATCTGC